TACACAACGTAAAGGAAGAAGGCTTTATTTTGTTCACAGTTTCAGAGGTTTCAGTTCCTGATTGGTTGGCTCCAAAACAATGCAGAAAAACAGCAGAGGGGCATGGCAGAGAAAAGAAAGCTGCTAAGCAAGGAAGCAAAGAGAGCACAAAGAGGCAGGGGCAGAAAGGTACCCTTGCAGGCCACATGCTCACGTGATCCACTTCTCCCAACCAGGCCTGCCTTCTCTAATAGGACACTGAGCTAGTGAACTCATCAATGGAGTACAGTGACCTTGAGATGTAATAGCCTTCAGAAAGTCCCACCTCTGAACACAGGACTCTTCTGGGGATAAATCAGATATAGAACCTCACTTTATGGTCCTTTTACCCTTTTTTTCATTTTTGGAGCCACATTCTCATTAAGTGTGCATTGGAGGATGGCCTTCAACCCACTATGCAGTCCAAATTGGCCTTGAACTCAGTGTGATCTTCCTGGCTCAGACTCCCAAGTGTGGTAATCACAGGCATGTGCCACTCTACCTGGCTCCACCTTTTTTTTTGCTCATGTCTCTTTAATCCCCTAGTCTTAGATTTGGATTTATCCAATACTTATACCGAGATAGCCACTAAAAACAATGACCAATAAATACATGAAGTGGTATCACCAAAACCTGACAACACAAAAAACCATGATTTAAGTTAAATGCAACATTTTTTTTTCCATTTTTAAACTGAAGATATTTCAATTATTTAACAACTGCCCTCAGAATATTTTACAAATCACCTCCTTTACCAGGTAATTTTACCTCACACTTTATGGAAAAAAATTGATTCTTACATGACAAACCCCTAAATCTCTGCTACCAACTCCTGTAATCTACAAGCTTATCTTCATGTGTTTTTTGTTATTTTGGGGTTTTATTTGGTTATGTTTATTTTTCCTTCCAGTCCAGAGATGAACAGGTACTTGTTTCCTTGTTCGAAGTCAATTTGTAACCTATATTTTGAATTTCTAGAGGCCAATGAACTGACCTGCTGTACCTAATTTTACTGGCTTTCTCTGTCCTTCAAATACCTGGGTATTTGTATGCTAAGTATTGTAAACAAAACAGTGAAGAGAAAGTCTTAGACTCTGTAGGTGCTCACTTTCTTACTCAGGAGACAAAGCAGATAAAGTGTCAAAGTAATACATGCTGAGAGGAAAATACAGATATCTGAAAGACAGAGAAAGCCAGTAAAATTAGGGACAGAAGGTTAGTTAACTGGCCTCTAGAAATTTCAGGGTTTTTTGTTTTGTTTTGTTTTGTTTTTTTGTCTCCTTAATAATTCCCTTTTGAATGCCTATTGTTTAAAATTTTAGTGTTCCCTGTGTTTTTTCTCCTATGCCTCGCAACTGCTTTTTCTTTGTTCCAAGTCTGTAGGGGCCAAGTGGTTGGCCTTCTTTCTTTCCTTTTGTCACACCACCCTATCTATCCTTCAAATATTCCTTTAACTTACATACTCTAACGAGGAAATGTTATTAAAAAAAATCCCTAATTCATGTTTAATGCTTAATATAGGTCTTCATTTGATTGTGTGAAGTGATCGCCAATCATTTTCCTTTAAAATTGACATATATATAAAACATAATATACAGTTATAGTAGATACACAGTAACATATGAATATTATACATATATTGATACACAAATACAAATGGACAGCCACCATGTATTTTTATATTCCTTGCTTTTAGAACATTGCTTAGCATAAAATATATTCTTAATGTTTCTTGAATTGAATTGTACATTGTTCTGTATCTTACTTATCTTTATGTAATTTTTCTAAAGCATGTATTAATCCTTTAATAACTATGGTACAAACTCCTTAGCCACATACCTTAAAATTGGGCTATCATCAATCTGCAGCTTCTTTTCCTACAATATTCTGTGATTCTTTTTGGAGCCACAGAATCACTTCATGATACACTCAATGGATCATACCTTCTTCTGGATCTTAGTTTTTAATATATATTGTTCACTTTACTTGTAGGACTCTTCTCTAGTTTGCTAAGTTCTCCTAATCTTAGCAAAAATGCCAATTCACATTGAGCTCATGACCTGACTCACTAATCTTTATTGTAATACTTGTTACACTATCACACTATCCACTGATCTTTTTATCTTTCATTATATAATAAAATAATCTTTTTTATTACCCATTTGAAAAGTTCGTTAAGGATATAAATGATGTTTTGTTTTTAGTGTTCTAAAAACTTCATTAAGGGCTCAGTACATATTAGGAACTTGGTAAGTGTTTTTTTAAGATACATCTATCAATAAATACAACTATGAAAACTAAATACAGAAAATCTTCACTTTTCTTTTTTTGGGATATATGCTAATATGAACAAAGGCTTCTACTAATGCTGCTAATATGCTGAATTACCAATTGATTACTCCTGGGCCCTGTGAGAATAGTAAGAGTTTAGAGAAATTTCGGTTTCTGCTTTACCCTGAAAACATCTAAATGATATACTTTTCTAACTTTGTTTCCTAAACTTTCCATTATGGAACTGTCAAGAATTTTTTTTTTAAATGAATCTAAATACAAAACAGGCAGAACAAAAGCTAAGCATTATTTTTGTTTAGTTTCTTTTTTAAACAAAAGTGATTATGCCTTAAATATGAACTTGAAATAAAAAGAAAATTAAAATTCTAAATTGGGTGATCTCAAAAGCTCTGTCTATCACTTATTCTTCCTCCTACCCATTTCTAATGAAGTAGCTCACAAAACCAGTTATTAACAAAAGAATGAAGTATTTTGTAAAACAAGAGAAGAATCCCAAAGATCCTGACTTTCAAATGCCAGTGGAGGAATAATTTAACATAATAGGGCTCTGGCTGTTATCTTTAGGAAGGCCTATTTGTCAATTTTGTCCTTGAATAGATTCTACTAATTTGGCTTTTAAAAACATTTCTTAAGTGATAAGGTTGTAACTGATGTGCCAATCTACTTAGACCGTACAATGAGATTAGGATTAATCTGTTTTCTAAATTTGAAATTCTGGTTGACACGGTACACCTATGCAAGCAACCAGCTTTTGATCTATCAAAAAAAAAAAAAAAACCTAAACAAAACCCTGAACTTTTTTTTTTTGAGACAGGGTCTCACTACACAGTTCAGGCAGGCCTTGAGCTCACTTTGTAGCCCGGAAGGATCTTCCTGCCTCAGCCTCCAGAGTGCTGGGATTACAGGCTTAAGCCCCCAAGCCATGCTAAAACCCTGAATTTTCATGCCCAAATGGAGTTCCTTATGTTCTCCACATATGATGTAATGTATGAAGCGGAACTAAAAGTCTAGCATAAGAAGACTAAAAATAGTTTCCTCCAGACTCTACTGATGTCTTTTCCCATGAATGATCTGATTATATATGTTTACCATGGCACTGTAATAAATCTTAGCAATAAGTGTGTTTGTATGCTGAGTCCTGCCAGTTGTAAAGAATTACAGAATGTGTGGGTGGAAATGGGGACCCTTGAAACACTATCAAGCAATGATAATAAACAAAGAAACAATCTTCTCATCATTTCACAGATGAGTATGTTAAAAAAAAATCTAATCTTTAATAATATGGACACATGGGGCAAATCATCTAAGAAAACAGAATTTTAAGTGGAATAAAGTTGATATTATGAGAAGTTCACTGCATTATCCCTGTGTCTCTCATTTTGCTGCAGATCAATAAGGGTCTCACCATAGAACAGTAAAAGACACGAGCTTTTGAACTACTAGATTCAATAATTGTCATATCCCAACTTACTTTCCTTTGGTGGGCACTGAAAACACTAAACAGAAATGTTATATACACAGGAATAATTTTTAAAAGCTGAAACTTTTAGTAAGTCATACAGAATTCAATATAATATTTTAAGTCATAAATAATGGAAAACTATCATAAAGTAATAACAAATGTAATACTAAGATATTTTAAGATCTGCAGTCTTCATGCCAGCCAAATAATAAAAAAGGAACCAAAAGTAAATTAGCTCGGTCAGTGATATTTCTTTTAGTCTGTCATAAAATCAATTGTTTTTCTATTCATTTCCTCCTTATACACAAAGTAAACACTGATATTTAAAAGCTATACATAAAGCATCATTCACACAATCAACTTAAAATGAGTATATCAAGTCAACGATTTCCACACATCACAGTATTTCTTTAAAAGGCCAAATAAGAATCTCAAGTTTCCATCCATTAAGACATTTGTGTGTTTTAATAACTAATTCTCCAGTTTTTACCTGTATCAGGTAACTGAGTTGGGTTAGAAATATTATAGGCAGTCAGACAGGGCTAGGCCTTTGAAACAGCCAGTGCAGAAGACCAGTTGCCTTGTAACTGTTGGGGAGACACACACATCTGGCTATGCGCCAGACCGCAAGACCAAAAAAAAAAAAAAAAAAAAAAAAAAAAATCAAACAAATGCACCCACATACTTCCTAAGGATAAATTTCAGGGACTCATATTCTAAATAGGTCTCTATCACCCTGAGGAAGCCAGGAATCACTAACTCACACTGCTCTTTATGCATGCCGGCTTGCTAGGTGCTCCCTTGCTGGCTTCCCCATCTGTCCCCAATTTAATCAATTGTACCCCAGCAATTAGTACTTTGGTTGGCCACAGTTCTGTCTCACCACATGCCTATCTTGTGAGTTCTTACATTTCCACACCTTAGACCTGCCTCACTTTCTGTGGTTTTACTTTATAGAAGTTCCTAGAAAACACAATGTCTTTTGCAACCCACTTGGGACTTCTTTGTCTGTCAGCCAGAAGCATTCTTTCTCTTAGTAAATATATTCTGCTGTTAATATTTGCTGTTACTAAAGTTCATTCTTCAACTTTAGAGAACACAAACTCATACCAGACATCTAGTTGGTTAGGAGTTTCCTTCCCTTTATTATCAACATGATTCAGTTGCAAAAGGCTCTCTCAGATTTTACTTACTAGGATAAAGAACAACCTTCTGAAGAATCACATACCTTTTGCTGTAATTCTTTTACTGCAGTATCTCTATCCATGCATGCCTGTCGGAAGGCTTCATATGCTTTATTGAGTTGTTCACCAATGTTTTTATCCATTCCTCTTTGTCCTGTAGCATCACTATAAAGGATGGAGTAAATGACAGATCTGCAAGACAATTGTAACAATTTAATAGTTACTAAGTTACATAAATTTCATTTAAAATGCACTTAACCATAGTCCTACAAGGTTTTACACTAATATTACAGCAACAAGTTCTGTAAAAGTATAACATACCATCTAAAATCCTGATAAAAAGTATTACAATATCTATCTTTATTCTTAACTAATGTTCCAATTTAGAAAACAGGGTTCCAGCTCATAAAAATGCTACTTTGAGAATGGTAATTTATTTATATAGCTTAAAAATTGAGACATACAAAAGGGCATTCTATTATTAATACTTTATTATACAAACATATAACACAATTAGCAATGTGGAAAGGGATTTCTTTTTACTAAATGGACAGTTATTCCCATTTATAAGGTGAATTGTTGCTATACTGAAATTAGGGCAAAATTAAACAGATAATAAATGTTTGGGATGGAGTTCACACTGTTGTTATCACAGAGCAATTAAAATGTGTGAAAATGCTCTTATTTTAGCACAAATCTAGGGAGAACTGCTGTTAGACTGTACATTACAAAAGAAAAATCACATCCTTTCAGTCCTACTCCTCCCCACTATATATTAGTTTTCTAACTTCCCTGCTGTTTCTGAAATACATGTGATTTGCTTGGATGAGCTAACTTGTTTTTATCATCTCAGTTTGTATAACATATCCACCAACCATATTACTGGGCTGTGAGCAATTACCTGATTGTTCTGATTTTTCTCCAGCATGAAAATCACAATACAGACCATTCTCTTAAATCTCTAGGAGTTACAGAGTTGACCAAGTTTTTATTGGTTATAATGGTACCAAACTATTTTTCTTTTTGGGAAATCTTTCATAATCTCAGTCTTTAACATAGTATAACACCTTTCATTTTAATTGTGGGTACACAATGTTTCTTTCAAAAACACTTTAGTATTTTTTAATTGACATGCTGTAGTCAAGAATTGCAAGGAAAACAATTACATACAGGACACATAATTTATAGCATTTTATAATAATCATCCAGAGTCAAACACAAAAGACTGCAGGAAATCTGTCCACACTAAGACCCAAGAATCCAGCTAAGGCCTGGGTCTCATGACAATGTCCTGCATGAATCCAACTGAAGACCTACAGTCCAGGACAATGACTCATGCAAGCCTATTTCATGTATCTGCAGTGGGAGGGCCCAAAGGTAATGGGGGAAGCTAGAACGTCTATGCCATTCGGGTGAATGATTTGTGCCAGCAGGCTGAGGGTTCCATATTGGAGTCAAGAAATAACACTCAAAGTAAGGACCAGGGTTCTCCTGAAAAGTACCACAGCTATCCTCATGATAATGAGATCCTGAGCTCCTCTGATGATGGTAACAGCTGAGTTCATTTTAGGAAGTCAGCCCGACAAGCTTCCCCTGGCGACTGAGCCGCACACCATCTTCCCCTCCAGAGCCAAGGAGTGGTAAAGACCAGAGCTCCCCCAAAGCCATTCTCAGCAACAACGAAGTCCCTTTGATGATGAGAACAGCCAAGTTCATACCAGTAAAGAAGACTGACAAGTTCTTTCAGGAGAACCAACAGCAACAGGAGAACCAACAACACCACAGACAACCAACAACACACTTCTTCCTAGTCAGTTCTTTTTATGTTGGCAACAATCCTCAGGTGAGCCATCCACACACAGCACCATAATGATTCAGTTTAGCTGGTTGTTACAAGCTGACCACCAGTTGTCAATCCACCACAACACACCATTCATATAAAATAAAATTCATTTTAAAATGTACACTTTCGTACTTTTTAATATATTATGTTCTGCAACAATCACTGTTTCAGAATCTTTACATCACAAAGAAACTGAACCCATTAAAAGTAGCAATTCCCCTTTTCTTACCCTGTCTTTTAGCAGCCAGTAGTATCTTTTTCTTTCTCTGTGGGTTTGCTTCTTTTTGACACATCTTATTCAAGGAATCATAAAATATTTGGCCTACATGGCTTCTTTCACACAAGATAATATTTTTCAGGTTACCCAAATTGTAGAATTAACAGTAATTCATTCCTTTTTATAGCTGAATAACATTCCATTGTGTTGATACACAACATTTTTCTATTTCTCAGTTGATGGACATGTAGGTTTGCTTTTACTTTTTGGCTATTATGAATAAAGCTACAATGAATATTTGTTTACATGATTCTATGTGAACATGAGTTCACTTCTCTCTAAAAGTAGAACTGGATCACACGGTTATTTTATGTTTAATATTTTGAGGGACTGCTGGCCTGTTTCCATAGTAGTTGTTCTATTTCACATTTCCACTAGCAAAACCAACGGTTTCAATTTGCCACATCCTCGCCAATAGTCTACTTTTAAAATCATAGCTGTCTCGTGGGCATGAAGTGGTACCAAATTGTAATTTTAATTTGTATTTCCCTAATTACTCATGTTAAACATTTTGTCATGCATTCATTGGTCACTTCTATACCTTTGGGAAAATATCTATTCAAATCCTTAGCCCATTTTTAAATTGGGGTGTCCTTCTATTGTTTAGTTGTAAGAATTTTTATACACACTGAAAACTAAGTCCTTATCAAATGTATGATTTGAAATTTTTTCTTCTGGTTTTTTTTTTTTTTTTTTTTGGTATCAGGGATTGAATTCATGACCCTGCGCTTCCCAGCCAGGTGTTTATACCATTTGAGTGAAATCCTCCGCTTTTCTTCCATTCTGTAGATTTAAATTTCCTTTTTCTCTTTTAAAAACTCCAAAGTATTTTTATTGGGATCTTTTCTCTTGACTCAGGATAATTTTAGTGCTGTTTCCTCCTGAAGGTACATCCTCCTATAAGCCTGGCTCTTCTGTAGGTTAGGGGTAGGAAATGAACCAGCTAACACACAACCTATTGTTTGTATATGGCTAAAGACTATGCTGATGTTATAATATCCTGATCATTTCACATACATGAGATAGGAACTAGAGCTCTGCACCACGGATTGCTTCTTATGTTTCATCTTCTCAGAGTCTTTGAGAGTACCATGTTCTCATGGGGAGATTGTTATAGCTAATAAAAAGTTATTACTTTCTTGATAGTGTCCTTTGACCTGCAGCACATTTCATTTTGATGAAGTCACTTTACCTGTATTTTTCCTTTCCTTCTTGTACTTTTGGTGCTGTAGCTAAGCAATTGCCTCACTAAAGGTCACTAAGATTTTCATTCATTTTCAAGAGTTTTATAATTTTACTGTTTACATTTAATCTCTGATCCATACTGAATTAATTTTGTATATGATATGAGGTAGGTTCAGGTTGATTTCTTTGTGTGCATGCCATTTATTGAAAGGGTTATATTCTTTTCTCACTGAATGACTTTAGCACTCTTGCTGAAAAACAAGTACCTGTAAATCTCAACTTTTTTCTGTTTTTTGGATGCTGGGATTGAATCCATGGCCTTGTACATGCTAAGTGCATGCTCTACCACTGAGCTGCTCCCGCCAAACTCTCACAATGATCTTTTAAATACATAGATAGAAGAAATAATTCAATCCTAAAGCCAAATTCTTTCATTTCAGTCCATTTTTAAGTCATTTACCAGGCTTAATTAAAAAGAAATCAGTTTTGTTACAAGGATCACAGTATATTATTAATTTCTGAACTAAAGGAATTGTAATTCTTTTAGCCATTCCAGTTTGGAAGTCAGTTCCCACTACTATGGCCTGATAGGTCAAAAAGTTGGAATTCTGTGAGGATAATTAACATGGCTGGAACTTGTCTAGCCATAGATACTACAGAAAGGTAAGTAACTAGCATTAATACTGAGTGTTGCTTTGAGTACTTTAGATACTTTCTCATCAAAAAAGTACTTATAAAAGTACCTAAAAGATTAAATATAGTATATAAAGCAGGAAAGAAAAGAAATATACTAACGCAGAAATTACATGCTTGAAGTGACTTATTTGTTATCTTTAAAAGCTGCACATGCTGGCAAACTATCAACATAAAACACACCTTTATTTTGACATCTGGAATTAATCAGGCTTGAACTGAGTCTCCATGTAGTTTCATAGTTTGTTCTATTACTGATTGACTCTTAATTAAAGGCCACTAAATCTTTTGTACCCAATTCTTTCTCTCTAGTACAAAAAAAATATACTCAATTTCTAAGGAAATTCCTCTTTATTTGAGTCTATGTGTTAAAAATGAATGTCTAGTCCATCAAAAAGGTACATTCTTGTTTTTAAAAATCTCAATGTGGCATTAAAAATAGCTGCATCATATGCAAGTAAGTCATGTGGAACCTTTACTTCAGATTCTTGAATTAGATCATACAAATGTCACTAAGAGGAGCTGCTAAGTAAATTCCACATACACACATACTAATTTCTGAAATAAGAATAGATGCTAAAAAATAAGTTTTGGTTGATTCAAATAAATAAATAAACTTACTTCTAATTTCATAATCAAGAAGATAATGAATTAGATCACTGATACTCACCAGAGAAAAATGAAAGTCTCTGAGATCCAGCTAATTAAAGTGGACCAATTTCAAATATTAACACCCTGAACGTTAAAGCTACTTGTTCATCTACTTTTTAAGTATTTGTTAAGTGTAAAATTAATTTCACAATAGCCAGGCATGGTGGCTCACACCTGTAATCCCAGCAGTTGGGAGGCTGAGGCAAGAGGATCGTGGCAAGTTCGAGACCAGCCTGGGCTACAAAGTGAGCTTATGGCCAGCCTGAACTGCATAGAAACTCTGTCTCAAAAAGACCAAAAAAATAAATAAATAAATAAATAATTTCACAATGGAGGTAGTTATGTTTCAATTACGTTTTCGTAAGCTTTCTATAAAATTTGCCAGGCTCCATGGGAAAGTTCTGTATTTAAATATTCAAATCAAAGTTGCACAACAATTCTCAATCCTCAAATCCAGGTAAAAAAAACCACCTCTACTTTAGGAATGCGGATCTAGGTAGTTTTTATTTTATTTCTTAATTTGGTTTGCTGGTTTCCTCCCAC